AACAGTTAGGCTAGTAACAGGTAGGCTAGTAACAGTTAGGCTAGTAACAGTTAGGCTAATAACAGTTAGGCTAATAACAGTTAGGCTAGCTAGTAGGTTACTTCAAAGCTAGAACTCTCTGGAACTACATGAACACAGAACATCAGCGGTGTTTGACCCAAATATAAACTTAACCTAAATCAGATCCTCTGTAAATGTTCCTAAAATGTTTTGCTATAATGTTAATAGTTACTTCTGGGTTTACCACGATCGTTTTTAGTCACATTAAAACAGTATATTTGTCATGAAAACGTGACAAAAATCGTGTTTAAGGATGTGTATAATGTGTTCTCTCATTAACATTGAAATGTGTTTTTGACATTAGTGTTACTGAGCGTAACTTCTCTCAGACAGAAGTAAGTGACAGGCGCTGAAAGCCCGCTGTGACGAAGAACTACTGTCAGAGTAATCTGAGTATTTTACACCTGAAGTACAACCACAGAGTGCGTTGCCAAAGGGCAGCGGTTATTATTGGTTTGAGAGTCTGTTTTCAAGATATAATGAAGTGTTCTGCTGCTGCTGTGAGGAGCTGGATAATATACTTTAATATTTAAATGAATAAACAAACAAAATGTGAATATGACTTTTTATGCAAAAGTCAAAGTCCTGGTGAATGTGTCAATGTTAGTTTAATACACACACACACACAATAACGCACACACACACGCACACAATAACGCTTGCACACACACAATAACACACGCACACACACACAATAATAACACACACACACAATAATAACACACACACACAATAATAACACACAATAACACACACACACACAATAATAACACACAATAACACACTCACACACACACAATAATAACACACATACACACACACACACAATAATAACACACATACACACACACACAATAATAACACACACACACACACACACACCTCGCCGCAGCGCTCGTCTCCATCTCGGGATCGTCTCAAGGACAAACCTGTTGATGGAGCAGAGAGACGCGCACGGACCTCCATCTCCAACGCGCACGGACCGGAGCGCGTCCATCCCGGTCCGGACGTACAGGACAGAGCGCAGGACACCACACGGGACCAGGGAGAGGGAGAGGGAGAGACAGGGCACCAGCAACAGAGCAGGAGGAGGAGGAGGAGGAGGAGGAGGAGGAGGAGGAGGAGGAGGAGGAGGAGGAGGAGAGGAGGAGGAGGACAAATCCCCAGCACATAATGATTAGGACGCATTTCCATCACACGAAGCGGACCAAGTCGGATTAACAGCCGCTGATGGAGCCAGAGCGGATAACGCGGCAAAGGGAGACACGTCCACGAACAACTGCAGGACTTTGAGATATACCCGGTCTTGTTTTGGCTTTTAACGGGATGTCTATGTGTTTTTGGAGGTCACTTTGAGTCCGGGTGAGTTGGATGTGGACATGAGGAGCGACATGGGAGGCGGACATCAGGCTTCGAACATCACTCCTGCTGCTCCTGCTGCTGCTGCTGCTCCTGCTGCTGCTGCTGCTCCTGCTGCTCCTGCTGCTGCTGCTGCTGAGATGGATTTATTCCCCTCGGTTTAATGTTCGCTAAGCTTTTTGGGAGAGTTCTTCGAGTGTATTTTCGACAGCCAAGAACCAAACGAGGCACATCTTAAAGCCGAGGTCAGTCCACACACACAGGGACACACACAGAGACACACACACAGAGACACACAGAGACACACAGAGACACACACAGGGACACACACACAGGGACACACACACACAGGGACACACACACAGGGACACACACACAGCAAAACTTTACAGAAATTAACCTATTGATCAAGTTTGAGACAGACTGGGAGTTGCAGCTGTGTTAGTTTGAGACAGACTGGGAGTTGCAGCTGTGTTAGTTTGAGACAGACTGGGAGTTGCAGCTGTGTTAGTTTGAGACAGACTGGGAGTTGCAGCTGTGTTAGTTTGAGACAGACTGGGAGTTGCAGCTGTGTCAGTTTGAGACAGGCTGGGAGTTTTGCAGCTGTGTTAGTTTGAGACAGACTGGGAGTTGCAGCTGTGTTAGTTTGAGAGAGACTGGGAGTTGCAGCTGTGTCAGTTTGAGACAGACTGGGAGTTGCAGCTGTGTTAGTTTGAGACAGACTGGGAGTTGCAGCTGTGTTAGTTTGAGACAGACTGGGAGTTGCAGCTGTGTTAGTTTTAGACAGACTGGGAGTTGCAGCTGTGTCAGTTTGAGACAGACTGGGAGTTGCAGCTGTGTCAGTTTGAGGCAGACTAGGAGTTGCAGCTGTGTTAGTTTGAGACAGACTGGGAGTTGCAGATGTGTCAGTTTGAGACAGACTGGGAGTTGCAGCTGTGTCAGTTTGAGACAGACTGGGAGTTGCAGCTGTGTTAGTTTGAGACAGACTGGGAGTTGCAGCTGTGTTAGTTTGAGACAGACTGGGAGTTGCAGCTGTGTCAGTTTGAGACAGACTGGGAGTTGCAGCTGTGTCAGTTTGAGACAGACTGGGAGTTGCAGCTGTGTCAGTTTGAGACAGACTGGGAGTTGCAGCTGTGTTAGTTTGAGACAGACTGGGAGTTGCAGCTGTATTAGTTTGAGACAGACTGGGAGTTGCAGCTGTGTTAGTTTGAGACAGACTGGGAGTTGCAGCTGTGTCAGTTTGAGGCAGACTGGGAGTTGCAGCTGTGTTAGTTTGAGACAGACTGGGAGTTGCAGCTGTGTTAGTTTGAGAGAGACTGGGAGTTGCAGCTGTGTTAGTTTGAGAGAGACTGGGAGTTGCAGCTGTGTTAGTTTGAGACAGACTGGGAGTTGCAGCTGTGTCAGTTTGAGACAGACTGGGAGTTGCAGCTGTGTCAGTTTCAGGCAGACTGGGAGTTGCAGCTGTGTCAGTTTGAGACAGACTGGGAGTTGCAGATGTGTTAGTTTGAGACAGACTGGGAGTTGCAGCTGTGTCAGTTTGAGACAGACTGGGAGTTGCAGCTGTGTTAGTTTGAGACAGACTGGGAGTTGCAGCTGTGTTAGTTTGAGACAGACTGGGAGTTGCAGCTGTGTCAGTTTGAGACAGACTGGGAGTTGCAGCTGTGTCAGTTTGAGACAGACTGGGAGTTGCAGCTGTGTTAGTTTGAGACAGACTGGGAGTTGCAGCTGTGTTAGTTTGAGACAGACTGGGAGTTGCAGCTGTGTCAGTTTGAGACAGACTGGGAGTTGCAGCTGTGTTAGTTTGAGACAGACTGGGAGTTGCAGCTGTATTAGTTTGAGACAGACTGGGAGTTGCAGCTGTGTTAGTTTGAGACAGACTGGGAGTTGCAGCTGTGTCAGTTTGAGGCAGACTGGGATTTGCAGCTGTGTTAGTTTGAGACAGACTGGGAGTTGCAGCTGTGTTAGTTTGAGACAGACTGGGAGTTGCAGCTGTGTCAGTTTGAGACAGACTGGGAGTTGCAGCTGTGTTAGTTTGAGACAGACTGGGAGTTGCAGCTGTATTAGTTTGAGACAGACTGGGAGTTGCAGCTGTGTTAGTTTGAGACAGACTGGGAGTTGCAGCTGTGTCAGTTTGAGGCAGACTGGGAGTTGCAGCTGTGTTAGTTTGAGACAGACTGGGAGTTGCAGCTGTGTTAGTTTGAGACAGACTGGGAGTTGCAGCTGTGTCAGTTTGAGACAGACTGGGAGTTGCAGCTGTGTTAGTTTGAGACAGACTGGGAGTTGCAGCTGTGTCAGTTTGAGACAGACTGGGAGTTGCAGCTGTGTTAGTTTGAGACAGACTGGGAGTTGCAGCTGTGTCAGTTTGAGACAGACTGGGAGTTGCAGCTGTGTTAGTTTGAGACAGACTGGGAGTTGCAGCTTTGGTTCAGCCGTCAGAATCCAGGACACTTTCAAAACAGCGACTTGGCTTCACACAAACATTTCTCTGCATTTTTGTTTAATTATATTTATTTACGGTCTCAGTCTTCTGTCTCTTGTTAACTTTCAGAGATACCGACAATGTCTGAAAAAAACATTATTTTTCCTAAAAGGTTCACATTCAATGCACTTGCTCGTGTTGAACATGAGAAAGACAATGTTAAATGTTAAATGTCAAAGCATCTCTTCTGTAAACACAGGCCCCAGTCGCTCACAGCATCAGTGAAAAAGAACTGTCACTTTTCAGGACAGTTTAACATTTCTACAATGTTTAGCCAATTTTTATACAAAAGTAGAATGAAAGAATAATTACTATTTCTCTTGTATGGAATGGACCAGAGTCTAACAGAGTTCAACCCTTTAATGAGACCAGAGGGAGACCAGAGAGAGAGACCAGAGTGAGACCAGAGTGAGACCAGAGTGAGACCAGAGTGAGACCAGAGTGAGACCAGAGAGAGACCAGAGTGAGACCAGAGAGAGACCGGAGTGAGACCAGAGAGAGACCGGAGTGAGACCAGAGAGAGACCAGAGTGAGACCAGAGTGAGACCAGAGTGAGACCAGAGTGAGACCAGAGGGAGACCAGAGAGAGAGACCAGAGAGAGACCAGAGAGAGACCAGAGTGAGACCAGAAGGAGACCAGAGAGAGAGACCAGAGAGAGACCAGAGAGAGACCAGAGAGAGACCAGAGAGAGACCAGAGAGAGACCAGAGTGAGACCAGAGTGAGACCAGAGTGAGACCAGAGAGAGACCGGAGTGAGACCAGAGAGAGACCGGAGTGAGACCAGAGAGAGACCGGAGTGAGACCAGAGAGAGACCAGAGTGAGACCAGAGTGAGACCAGAGTGAGACCAGAGAGAGACTGGAGTGAGACCAGAGAGAGACCAGAGTGAGACCAGAGTGAGACCAGAGTGAGACCAGAGTGAGACCAGAGTGAGACCAGAGTGAGACCAGAGTGAGACCGGAGTGAGACCAGAGAGAGACCGGAGTGAGACCGGAGTGAGACCGGAGTGAGACCGGAGTGAGACCAGAGAGAGATCAGAGAGAGACCAGAGAGAGACCGGAGTGAGACCAGAAAGAGAGACCAGAGAGATAAACCTAATAACAAAAATATGTTATTGTTTTGTTAATTTGTTTTTTAAACTCCCTAGATTTTAGTGACAGACTTTTGTTCCATATGTTCTCCTCATGTTCTTCACATGTTCTCCACATGTTCTTCACATGTTCTCCACATGTTCTCCATATGTTCTCCACATGTTCTTCACATGTTCTTCACATGTTCTCCACAACACTCTGTTCTTATTTATTTATGTATTCATTAAAGGGACAGTGCTTATTATTAAACATTTTTGTAAATATGCCAGAATTATCCAAGCAGCTCTTTTTCATTCCCGAGTCTCCTGAAAGATAAAACCATGTTCACAGACAGTTAAAACCATCGTTCTCACACCATATGTAACCAAACCAGTTATTCCCACTAAAACCATTGAACCACTCACCATAAGACAGAAGGACACTTACTTGATTTGTGGGGCTCTTTCTCTCGCGGTCAATCTCGGTACATGACTCCCCCGTCTCCTCCCCCCCCTCCTCACCCTCCCCATTTTTTTCTCCCCTTCTCATCTTTCTTTCTTTTTTTTTTTTTTTTCTAGTCACCAGTGAGAGAGAATGTGACCTTCTGCCAAAGTGTTGAAGCGATGCCACGGTAGCAGCGGGGATTTCTCTCCATGCCCTCGGACTCAAACAAGTGAATCGCAAAGAAGAGAGAGAGGAGGAGAGAGGAGGAGAGAGGAGGAGAGAGGAGGAGGAGGAGGAGAGAGGAGGAGAGGGAGAAGGATCCTGGGATTGTCCGGGAGACGGGGGAGGAGAGGAGGGATGAGCGCAGACGAGACACCGCTGCATGTGGATCGCTCTCAGAGGTAGGACACACACCTTCACAACTTTGTCATTGTGTTTATATTTTGTCTAAATGGTCCATGATGGGACTGGGTCTGGGTCTTGGTCTTGGTCTTGGTCTGAAGCTGCACTGGTCTGAATGGGTGTGATTTCTTTGGGGGCGCTGCTCAACAGGATGGTGCTGTGTTTATCAAAGGCAAAGGAATATCTTTTTAATAGATTGGAAAATAAATATTTAATCTTTACTGTTGTTGGTGTCGACTATTTAAATATTGTTTTATTTTCACATTTTGTTACTTTGTGGAGATCTAACTTAAAGAAGACTGTTGATGTGCGTGGCTCATTACTGCTAATTCGCTGGTCTCGCTCTGGTCTTGCTCTGGTCTCTCTCTGCTCTCTCTCTGGTCTCTCTCTCTGGTCTCTCTCTCTGGTCTCTCTCTCTGGTCTCTCTCTGGTCTCTCTCTCTGGTCTCTCTCTGCTCTCTCTCTGGTCTCTCTCTCTGGTCTCTCTCTGGTCTCTCTCTGGTCTCTCTCTCTGGTCTTTCCCTGGTCTCTCTCTGGTCTCTCCAAAATTCAATATTTGATCCTGTAGAGACTCAAACAGACAGAAGCTGGTTTTTAGATTGTATTTTATTGGTTGTGAAGTCTCCTGTCGCTACAAACTTTAGCGCTTCAGTTTCTTCATTTATGCTTTTTTTGACAATTATTCCACACGGTCCATGACGTAGACTCCGACCCGAGGGGAAATGAGAACAGAGGTTATGAGGTCTAGACCCCGGCGGTGGGAGCTAAGAGAAGGGAGGAGAAGCTGGTCTGTCTGACGAGGAGGTGATGAGGAGGGTTGCAGCACGATGTGAAAGCTCGACACAGTGACGTGCTTGAATGATGCAAACCTTTTATGATTATGATTTTGAATTGAACCTGTGCTTTAGTTTCGGATGACCTAGTTTTTCTCTCACAATAATGAGATTTTGAGACCGGCTGAACTCTCATCAAACACCACAGTTGTTTTGTAAAGACCACTGGGCAAAACCTTCAGTCTCTGGATGTGCAAAGTTTACGGAGCAGTTTTAACGAGACTTTTCCCGACTTGACTGAAAGCAGATAGAACGACGTAATGGACCATGGTTTGGATATTACTCTATGTTCATGTCTACACCGGGGTCGTCTCGCACAGCTTTCCACTGTGGTTTTACTGCAAACGGCAAATCAATTGAATTTTGAGGAAACATAGACAGACTTGGCTGTGGATGGATTTGCTTCAGTACCTGTGATCCACAGACCTCTGTACCTGTGATCCACAGAGCTCTGTACCTGTGATCCACAGACCTCTGTACCTGTGATCCGCAGACCTCTGTACCTGTGATCCGCAGACCTCTGTACCTGTGATCCGCAGACCTCTGTACCTGTGATCCGCAGACCTCTGTACCTGTGATCCGCAGACCTCTGTACCTGTGATCCGCAGACCTCTGTACCTGTGATCCGCAGACCTCTGTACCAATGCTCCACAGACCTCTGTACCTGTGATCCGCAGACCTCTGTACCTGTGATCCGCAGACCTCTGTACCTGTGATCCGCAGACCTCTGTACCTGTGATCCGCAGACCTCTGTACCTGTGATCCGCAGACCTCTGTACCTGTGATCCACAGACCTCTGTACCAATGCTCCACAGACCTCTGTACCTGTGATCCACAGACCTCTGTACCAATGC